TTCTCAAAGTCATATGAAAGAAACCAAAAATGTGCATTTAATTATGTTTCGTCAGCTTTTTGAGGTGTTTAAAGCCACAATCTCAAAACATCTTGGTTGAGGTTTGTAGTGTGACATATCTAAGCCTTAAGTGATCTTTGTTAGTGTACTTTCACAGTTGTTTATTCTGTTTCTGATTACACATTGTTATGTAACCATCTTATTAAATTTCGTTTGGAAGATATTGTTTACTATGATATTCAGTCAAGATCAGTTGTCTTCTAAGCATGATTTTGTTGAATGTTTGAAATAAATATAAAATGATAACAGATTCTTCTTTCCCTATGTAGTTGAATTTACAGTAATTGAATCCGATAATAAATGCTCCTTGGAATCATTATGTAGTCCTCGAAATGACTGCATAATGAAGGGTCCAAAATTTCATTGTGAATGTAAGAAAGGATATTCATCTATTTACATACAGGAGTATTCTGATATAGGAACAGAGGACATCTGTGTTGGTAAGTACTAAATGAATACTCATGAATTGTTAAGTCCGAATTTTCATAAAGAGGTATTGGCACAGTGCAGTTTGTTGCTTATCATGTTGATCAATATAACATCAAACTAGTTTTACTATGACTTTTAAATTATGAACCTAAAATAAAATGGTTATTTCAGGAATCTGAATTTGTATTGCTGGCACCATTAGATACTAAATTGGAGAAACTGTGAAAATTGATTGTTCATTAATTTAATTCAGTGAAATATGTTGGTAATTACTGGCAAAAATTGTACAAAATAATAATTTGGGACAAGCTATATTGCATCTTCTTTCGGTATATGTTTTATTCTGATACAATATCTACCACTTCTCACACAACTGCTTTTCTTAATCTTCCTCTGCCCCTAACGCAATGAAAAGAAATTTTCTCACTTTATACCCTTTATACCCCATACATTTGAGCTGCTCATTTAGCAAGCATAGATCATGTGACAACCTTCCACCAATAGGAGCATGACACACCATCCTAGAGCAGTTGGCTCCCTCTGTACTACTTAATGTTAACCTCACTTTCTTGACTGGCACAATCTGATTCAGCTGTGTTTCACGTTTACTTTTAGTTTTAAAACTTACTCTGTTAAGATAATCTGATTAAACATTCTTTTGAGAATAATCGGTTGAATATTATTTTTTGAATGAGTGTGCTCTAATCCTATCTTGCATTCTGGTGTATTACAGTCTTTATCTGTTTGATATACGTTATTGCATTTTATAATTTCACAATTTCTTGTGATTGCCAATATGGCCACTACAGTTTCTGGGGATACACTTTTCTTACCCAGACTTCGATTCATTAGGCATTTGCTTCTTTCATGAGGACCTTCTCCATGATTGTCAAAGCACCTTTCAGGCTGTTCTACATGTTTGAGACATAGATGATTTAGCCAGTTTTATGTTTTCCTGTTCCAGTTTTTCCATGCTGTCATGTCATGCACTTTGGTGGTGGTTCATTATTTGGACTTGTATCCTGCAAACTGGGTTACATTACCCATGGTAGGCACAGCTCAGATGCCCATTTTATGGCTTTGTATTTCATTACGAACAAAAGAATTAAGTATTTCATGTTCTCGGTGCTAAGACTTTTTCATATGTACTCTATTAATTGTTCAACCTTCTTAATAATCATTAATACTATTAAAATATAATTCATTATTAAATCTGATAAACGTTTTTAGTCATTATTACATATGTGACTTATAGTCATATGATTTATATTCATTAGTATGTGTCAACGTATTTGTTTTTCATTGTTAAATTCCTGACATGTTCATTTATTTTCTGTTAGGGCTAAGCTTTGCTTAGGCTCATTTTAATAAATTCTTAATACAATGTCTCGCCTTCTCCTCATTTTTCCTGTGCTGTTCATGGACAGTGCAGGTGATATGGGTCACTACTCTGTAGGGACTGAGTTCCTCCATTCTGTCAAAGTGTGGGAGACATTTACTTCCATTTTATGGCTTTTATGGGATTTTCAGAGGGTCTGTCTCTTCACTTCTTTTTGGCACTTCCTCCTTTATTGTGTACTGATTCCTGCCCTCCTCCAAGGGATCCTGTCTCACACAGTTGGCTGTCCACTGTCGTGTGAGATGTTCTTTTCTAGGAGCTATCATGCAGGGGTTTCCTCTCGGCTCTCCATTTGTCTCTGGATTTTTTTTGTTCCACTATAGAGTTGTTTTTGTACTGTTGTTGGGTTTTTACTCCACATCTTTGGATAACCGAGTTAGATGTAGCAGATGCATCCTTTCCCATTTTATTTAGGACCTGAGCTCTTCTGTTTGAGCTTTCCTCATCACCTTTCATGTTTTAGTGAGTCATCACAATCTTGACATCTACAGTTGTTTAGTGTTCCAGTCTTATCTTTCTTAGGATGACAGGATTCTTCTGTCTTCTTCTTGTTTGGTGTCTTCAGACCACACCAGTTTGCTTCTGGAGGAAGTAGATATTGTAGTTTGGTCATCAATACAAAGAAGTCCATGTTTTCCCTCATCCAGTCTCTGGTTCTCTTGGGAATTTCTCTATACTTCCCAACGTTAGTTAGGCCCATCTTTCTCCACTAAGTATTTAGGATAATGAGCAGTTAGTCATCAAGGCTCTATACTCTCTTGCTTGGCTAGATTGAGTAGTTCTATCTCTTTTGGGAATGTGGGCTTCCTTCATAGCTCTCATATGCTCCCGTAGCACTCATGTATGTTCCCTTCCATGGGTATTCCTTGATTGATGACACCTCTACTCAGATCCCTTGAATCAACTGGTTGTACTTCCTTCTCCTCTTTGGACTGATCTTTCTTGGTGGTGGGTCAGAGACAATTGTATTGTGTGTGTTCCTCTTTAACCTCCTTTTAAAATCTTCCATCTGACACTGATGTTTCTCTTGTAATTTGGAATGCTTATCTCAATACCCAGGATATTTTCAGGTTTTGGGATTTGGCTGAATCCAGACTTCATGTCAGCATTTGGGTGATCTTAGCTGTTCGTAAAGCTCTGTCTCTTGTCTTTCATATTCTTTGACGGAAGATGTTTATAGTGCATTGTGCCAACTTCCAGATGGTCTCATACTTTTACAAACAATAGGGTACCCAGTTCAGGTCACTTTGTTTTTGGACTCTGGTGCTCCAAATTTTGAGCCAAAGGGAACTGGATACTGCTCTTGGTTTACCTTAGTCCCAGTGTTTGGAACCAAGTTAAGGATCATTTGTCATATCTGCATAAGGTAATGCCCATGGAGTGGTTCCTTGATCCTCCAGTTTTCTGGTGGTTATGCTTTCATCTAGGCATCCCATGCATAGATGTATTTGACACTTGTGTGGGCAACAATCTGCCATCTTTCTGGTCTCTGGATACTTGTTCTTTGGCTTTGAATTCCTGATGTCAGGAATGGAGGAGCTTTCACTTTTATGCCTTCCCACCTATATGCCTCATCCTCTAACTTATCTCCCTCATCCACACCTCTCCATTTTGACTGGCTCATCCTTGGTTCCCTCTCCTGAGACCTCTGCTGCCTCTGAGGGCGACTCTGCCTTCACACCCAACTCTATTTTCTATATTTATTCCCAGTTGGGTCTGAATTGCCCTTCTGTGACCTGTGGTGCTATGTTGCTTGTACAGTTTCCTTTTGTGGTTCCTGTTCCTATTTGTTTATTCTCTGGAATTCTTCTGTGTCAGTTGACCTTTCCCAATCACCCATACAGGTTGGTTTCATTTGCTTATTAGGTTTCCTTACTCTTCCCATTCTCAGAAACGTTTTGTTTTTATTGTGTCTCATCTTATACAATTCATCATATCACCATGTCTTTAGCAACTCAGTTTAGTTATCCTCTGATGGAGATTATCCATGCTGGAATGCGGCCTACTACACGTATCTTTGTCACTCGTTACCTGTACCATCTGGCTATGTCCTTCTCTAATGAATATCATCCACCTCCTATGGTGACTCTACATGCACCTGTATGTTTCTAAATTGGTTAAGTATTTTTTCTTATGTTTATTCCATGGAACTCCTTTTTCTTTGATAACTACTCGAATCCCACTCAGTGGAGAGTGTTGCCTGGTCAGGTATGCTTTCCTCTTAAGCTACACCAGGTACCTTTAAGGTTACTAAGCACACTGTTGGGATGAGGTGTTTTGCAAGATCACTAGTGGCTTACCTATTACTATATATATATATTTCTCTCTATATATAGTATTCTGTTGAATACTTGGTGTCCATCACTTATGGACTATCACTAGTAAAGGAGATAGGGATTCTGCTCATCACTGCTGCTCCTATGATTGAATAAATCAGGAGCAGTCTGCTTTTCAAAATAAGGTTTCACAGTCACCCATTGCACTTTCTCAGGTATGACTTTCCTCCAGACTTTTACAGCCTTTTACCCCTCCCTTCTTTCGTTCTTGATTAATGAAAACATTCTTGGCAAATGCTTTCGCAGTAGTTCGTCTTGCGACGGTCCAAGAATTTCACCTCTAGCGTCGCAATACGAATGCCCCCGTCTGTCCCTCTTAATCATTACCTCGTGTTCCGAAAACCAACAAAATAGAACCGAGGTCCTATTCCATTATTCCATGCACCATTATTCAGGCGTTGCGCCTGCTTTGAGCACTCTAATTTTTTCAAAGTAAACGTGCCGGCCACCC